TAGTAAATAACAGGACAGATTGAGCTCTATAGCCTTGGATGGCAACTGGTCTACCGCAGAAAGAAATTACAACCTACTGTGGGAAAAAATCTGCCTCGTCAGTCATGTATCGAAAGGTACATGATCGCCTAAGTGTGTATCACGTATGGCACATGACTGAGTGGATTCTATCCTTACTGGGTACACCATATTTGTGTCCTTGTGCCAAAACTAAGCTTAGTAAATAATAAAATGCTTTGTTTGCAAACCATGGTTCCAAATTTACTCAGCCTTTAATCTGGAATGAAAACCTAGTAGGTGTTCTCCCACTCTTTAAGCTATAACAGAAGCCTCGTCCAGGGGATACCACATTGAATTAGTGTTTGTGGATGCTGATATCAGTATGACAGTGGTTATCGATATTAGGCAGTTTTTGTCCTTGTCTTATATGTATGTATATGTATGTATCTGTACACGTCCACATTAAACTGACCATGTAACACCATGCTGGGGTAAGTAAAAACCACTATATTTGCATAGTTAGTATATTCCATTCTCTAGGCAGCTAAAAGGGAAGTGCTGAGGTAGACTGAGCAGTTGCAGGATCATGCATTAAACCCTGTCAAATTTACCCTTTTGTCGTTGTAGATAAATAGAAAAATTTGTGTTTATTTAACTTTCAGCCTTTCAGAAGGAACACACCTCTTTACCCTTTCTGGTATTTCATTTCAGCCCGTTTTTTTTATATATACGTCGTCCTTTTAGATCAGTGTTTCTCAACTGGTGCACCCAAAGGTAACCAGGGCTCTCAGGTTTCCCATTACACCACCCACACATCCCTAACAAATATTGGAAATAATAAAGAATTATCTTGAAATTACTGAATAGCAATTTCCAGTGTTCAGATATTCCACATGCTATTGTCATAAAGACTGCACATTTGTGATTTACTTTATTTAATTTTTTTAACACTTTCACTTCTGTATTGTTATAACATTGTTAACTGGCTGTACTAAACTGGCCTGTTCAGCAAAATGTAGAAAATTGCCATTTACAAGATACAAATGACTGACACTGATGGCAACTTCTCATAGACATCACCATTTTGGTTTTGACCATTATTCTACAGTAATACCAAAGCTTGAGGACATCCCGATAATCATGATGTATCACAAAACAAGTCAGATTTTATGCTACAATATGTTAGTAATATCTCCTTTCAACTGGTCCGTTCTTGCAACCATTCCCAACGGTGCGTCCGGCTCTTTCTTGCAACCAATTCCCAATGATGCGACTTGACTAACTTAAAAGCACCATCTGCACTCAAAAGAACAGATTGTCTCTGCAAATAATGCCAGAGTCAAAGAATTATGTTTTTAACAATTAACTAAAATAAGTTGTTACCTGTTTTGAAGAATGGTTGAACTGAAGATCAAATGTATAAAAGGATGCTTCCTAAATATTCTTAATTCATTTTTATTGCAATAAATTTAAAAAAAAAAAAAGTCATATTTGAGACTGCCAAATTAAGATATACCTTTGCTATGAAGATTGGGGAACTGACTGTCAGGCAAATAAAAATTTAGGCAAATCATTTGAAGTGAATCTTTTAAAAAGCCTTTTAACATGTATATATTTGATATGTGGTCTACACACACACACACACACACACATATGCATATGTCTCAAGTTCTGAAACTAAATATTTCTATAATACACTGATTCATTTTGACCAATTTTTGAAGATGCGTAAAATTGTCTGAAGAGATGAATGTATGTCTGATGGTAAATTTAAGCACCGTAAATTTGCTCTGTTGAAGATGCTTCCTAAATATAATTTTGTATAAAAATCTTTATTCCTAAAATAAAGCTGGCTTCTTTTGAGTAAAATATGCAGACTTTTTTTTCCCATTTGACTTCATTGATGCACATTTATTAAAACTAGGCAAATTAATTTTATTCCATGTGTGGTGCATAATTGGGGATAAAAAAAACCCCTGAAATAGCCTAATCTCTTTTGAAAAGAATCATCTCATTTGACTAATACATACAGATGTTCTGATTGGTTGCTTTATGTTGCACAGTAAAAGGCAGTGGAAAGTAAGAAGCCATATTTCTCTTTCCCCTCCAGCTTGCAGTTTTAAGAATAACTCTGAATGCATCTTCTGTTTAGAGATAAAATAAAATGGAAAAAATTACATTTTTAAAGTAATAACATAAAATTTAGGGGAATAATTTTTTTTTTCTAGCAATTACTAGTGAGATAAATGGCAAAAGAACGCAATATGAAAATTAAGCAGAAATCCTTTAATGATCTTTAAACTTTTAAGCTGTTTGCTTGTAAATTATTAAACAGGAATTATTCTGCATTAAGTCTTAATCATTTTTCCATTTCTCTTCAAATTTCTCAGTCAAATACAAAGTGTACATTCAGGTATGCTTCATCTTGGGAAGATTTTCCAATCAGCACATTTCTAACTTCCTTTATTCTTCAAAATGCTGCTTCCATTTTTATTTAATTTCATTTTTTCTTTTTAATCTTTTGATGCTACATGCATTTTTATTTGGATTATTTTTTTCTAAAAACTTTTTAATATTTTTCTTCTTATTCTTTTTCATTTTAATTGCAACTTACAAGAGATTAAAATATAAATTTTCTTTTTTGCTGTCTTCATTACATGTTTAAAACTTTTCTTCCTTTTCCTTTTTCTCTTTTTCTCCTCTTTTTTCTTTTTCTACTTTTTCTCCCTTTTTCTTCTCCTTTTCCTTCTCTTTTTCCTCCTTTTCCTTCTCTTTTTCCTCCTTTTCCTTCTCTTTCTCCTCCTTTTCCTTCTCTTTCTCCTTTTTCTCCTTTTTCTTCTCCTTTTCCTCTTTTTTCTCCTTTTCCTCTTTTTTCTCCTTTTCCTCTTTTTTCTCCTTTTCTCCTTTCTTTTCTCCCTTTCTCCTTTTCTTTCAGTTTTCTTCTCATTTAGTGAAAGATCGACTTAAAAATAATGATGTGTTAATATTTGTAATATTAAAAAATTAACCAAATAAATCCTCACAAACTTCTAGGTGTGAAAGACAATCCTTCCTCAGATTCTGTACGCTTTATGCTACAGAATCACAAAGTACTTTACCAAATAACAAAAAACATGTCATTTAAAGATTCTCAACAGCAGCAACAACTAAAATAGATGGTACATGTAACTAAAAGAGCAAATAATATAATCAAGATATTGACTTTCCACATGATATTAAACAAAAGGTTAGGAAGTAAACTCTCATCAATACTAGGCAGAGTAATAACAGTAAGTGGACTTGAGAAAGCTATTTTCTTAAATTGCTTTAAGGGAAATATTTTATATATTTCAATCGAAAATAATGTTGTTTGGCCAGTGAATGCCAAATGTTTCTTGTATGGAAATAGCTAATTTTACTATTACTGCAAAAATTTTACAAAGGCTAGTGTAGATGTTTTTCTTCAAGTTTTCATCTTATAAATTTGTTTGTATGTAATCTACAGTTTTTTTTCCCTTTTCTTAGTATGTACTGTACTAATAATACAAATATGTCCAAATAGTATACTTTCATGATGACATTAAAAAATGTTTTTAAATGGAAGTATTAATGAAAACTGAAATTTTTCTTTCAACTGCCTCCCCCCTTGTCTCTTTCTTCCTCCAACTCAAAACTCTGTGATAATTGCCGAATAGTATTCAATTAGACAGTTTTGGTAGACTCTCCTGCCACCATTTTGAACTGAGAGTAAAGGGAGGTAATTGAACAGTAGGATTTGAATAATTGTCTATCTCTCAATGACCCACTGCAACCTTTTATATCACCTTTGTCTGTCTATTGTCATTGTGTTTAGAGCTTTGCTTCTTTCATCTAAGTTTCCTTGTCTATTCATTTGTTACCCTTTGAAATCTTTCCTTTCATTTGACAAACAGAATTACCAACATCCTTTATAAATGTTTTGGCTAGTTTTCCTTTATTCTTCCCCCCCACACACACACACTCACCAGCCTTCTTTTGTCAAAACATTCTTTGGCAAGTCCATATGTTGGATGATGTTAGACAGAATTACAAATTATTCAGAATAAACTAGTAGTCTTCGATAAAATATACATATTCTGTACTTTGGAACCTCGTCTTTCATAGGCAAGCCATAACCATTTAAGCTACAAAAACTACACAAGGCAGTATGCTGTGATTGTATTGTTTAACAGAAATGTGTATGCAGCTTATTCAGCCACCGAGACAGCATGTAAGTTATTGACAGACTAACTACTTGTTTTCAGTTATTACTGTTTCAGAATATAAGATGTACTAGTGTATAAGACACACTCTTATTTTGAAAACAAAGTTTTTGGGGTCATATTTGAAAGATTTTTTTATTGAACACAAATTCAATCTGACAGTTTAGAAATTAGTATATGAGGTTCTAAATGCAAAAGATCTCAAGGTATCAAAATTAAAAAAAAAAAAATGCCATAAATAAAAAGTTTTAAAAATGGGTACTGGTATTTAATTTGGAAAGGAATTGGACATTTTACCATCGGATCCAATATAATGATCAAATAGAATGTCATCCTTGGTTTTCTCCATTGCATTCGATGATACCACATTTCTTAAATGACTTAATCCCTATATTCTTACTACTTCTCATGAATTCTTCAAACACATATATGTCTTTTGTTTTAAAGGGGACAACAAAATTTTTGGAGTAGAATTCTGCATCTTATATACTGAAAAAATGTGAGATTTTGTAATGTTGCGTGAAAATGGCTTTGCAATTTTTATGAAGACTGACAGAAATGAGTAAAATGCCTGCATCAAATTTTGCCAGAAACTCATCAAATCTGTTGTCAAGACCATTGAGATATTTTGTCAGTATTTTGATAAATATTCTTAAGGTCAAAGAGATATTTGAATGGTATATAGGTTTCAAGGTTGGTTGAGTCTTGGTTCAAAAATGATGAACATTCACCAGAGAAAATGCCAGAAAATTTGGGAATATTTAATTTGTGAATTAGTTTATGAGGACCATTGCTCTTTTCTCTCGCTTTTTTCTTGCTCGCTCTCCATTTTCTTTCTCTCTCTCTCCATTTTCTTTCTCTCGCTCTCCATTTTCTTTCTCTCGCTCTCCATTTTCTTTCTCTCTCGCTCGTTCTCCTTTTTCTTTCTCTCTCGCTCGTTCTCCTTTTTCTTTCTCTCTCGCTCGTTCTCCTTTTTCTTTCTCTCTCGCTCGTTCTCCTTTTTCTTTCTCTCTCGCTCGCTCTCCTTTTTCTTTCTCTCTCGCTCGCTCTCCTTTTTCTTTCTCTCTCGCTTTCGCTCTCCTTTTTTCTTTCTCTCTCCTTTCGCTTTCGCTCTCCTTTTCTTTCTCTCTCTTCCGCTTTCGCTCTCCTTTTCTTTCTCTCTCCTCGCTTTCGCTCTCCTTTTCTTTTCTCTCTCCTTTTCTTTCTCTCGCTCTCCTTTTCTTTCTCTCTAAGCTCTCCTTTTCTTTCTCTCTCGCTCTCCTTTTTCTTTCTCTCTCGCTCTCCTTTTTCTTTCTCTCTCGCTCTCCTTTTTCTTTCTCTCTCGCTCTCCTTTTTCTTTCTCTCTCGCTCTCCTTTTTCTTTCTCTCTCGCTCTCTCGCTCTCCTTTTTCTTTCTCTCTCGCTCGCTCGCTCCCCTTTTTCTCTCTCCCCTTTTTCTCTCGCTCGCTCTCTCGCTCTCCTTTTTCTCTCGCTCGCTCGCTCCTTTTTTCTTACACCATTTATAATCAAATGAATGATACGAACTTGACAAGAGGCTTATGTTTAATCTTTCTCTTTATCTCTCGCTGTCTCTCTCATATATCTCTCACTGTCTCTGAACTGTGCCATCTTCCAGAAAAATATATTGTATAGCAGCAACGACAAGAAGAGCATACATTATGACCAGTAAAGACAAAAACTGTTCGTTGTTACTGGGAGATGAAACCTAATTGATGATTTACTGCCTTCATTATAACTACTGTCAGCTATATCCGGATACTTAGAGATTAGAGTTGTTGTTTGTCCTCCAGGTTTTTGAAAAGCATAAAAGTAAACCATTTCTGGTTGTTTGATGATCTTGTATTACTCCTCTCGGACCGAGTGGTGCGGGAGAAAAGTTCAGTGGTTATATAAGTCTCTAGAAATCTTCACTGATTACTGTCGTTCTGCTCACCCCCCCTCATCATCAGATAACGCATTTTCCTTCAAGATTAGTTGACTTACCAATCCTACAATGGCAAAGTGATTTCTATATGAATAGATGTACTTCATGGTGGACTTAATTTCATTTTCAAGATTGATTTTTGGAACAAAAGACACTACAAATGTTAACTAGTCTGCTGATTTTAAAAAAAAAAAAAAAAAAAGAAAATTCTATTTATAATTTTTGTAGATTTTATTTTATTATAGATTAGCATTCAATAGACCTTCCTCTAACTACATTACTCAGAATAAAAAAAATTAACTTGTTTTTTTTTATTATTTTAGAAGGGGAGAAGGTTCTTCATAACATAGTGTCAAATCAATTTTTCACTTCTTATAGAGTTATCTGTACTTTTTTATTTACAAATGTCAAGTTTGTAAATATCTTACTTATTATAAAATGCAGATTGTTTGTGTGTGTGTCTGTACGTTTATATATTGGATCGGATTTCCTACATTTTTCAACAGATTTTAACAAAATTTCACAGGACTACGTAAAATTACCTTGTGGTGGTTCTGACAGTGCCAAAAATTGCATGGAATCAATTTGAAAACACGATAAAACACGATTCTGTCGCCAGAATGAAAGGGGGACAACTCATATCGAGTTATATTTGCTATAAAAACCCAGGTTGTTTGTGTGTGTGTTCCTTTATATATGGGATCAGATTTCCTACATTTTTCAACCGATTTCAACAAAACTTCACTTTTTTTTGGCAGGTAGTGTTTCTTAGTGTCTTGCACACTTTTTTCTTTATTTTTACATTCAGAATGCTTTAAAAATTCCATTTACAAGACAATTGTTTATAATAAAATTCTATTCAATCCGTAGACTCATAACGAATGAAAACAAAAAAAAAACAAAAAACTAATTAAGACATGCGTGTCTGTCAACCTTAAACAATAATCTTTGTCAATTTTATTTTTCAGTCTTTATGATGGTCGATACTTGATCTATCTCTTACTGTTACATTCCCGGGCAACGACGGGCTCTACTGCTAGTCATTAATAAATGTATAATAAGTTTTCATTGCTTTCACTATCAACTGCGAATTGAATCACTATCCAATTTGCTGGTAGAGTAAGAAGACCCAGGACTTGCAAAAATATTGCAAAGTTCCTCAAAACTATATACACAATGCGGCTTCGGTTTTAAATATCAAAAATTTGTTTGCAGTATTCTTCCTAAATCTACCAATGGTATGTATAAACATAAAGAAAGTATTAGAAATAAATTCCACTATTTTTCAGCAAAGTATAAGGAGTTACTAACCTACCAATGTGTGACATCATATCTATAAAGCAATCTTGTGAACTGGCTCTACATTGAAATTACTTTCAGGTTATAAGTGGTTATTGTTACTTACCAAATAGTGGCTTTTGTTGTTCTGTCAGAAAAAAAAAAATTCCCCTACCAAAACACAATCCTACAAACAAAGATTACATAGATCTCCAATCTGACCATTCAGCTCTACTGAAGGGCCCTTGTTATGACACCAAAAGAGAGAGCCCCAAAGAGGCAGGAATCACCTAAGCAAAGATCCTGAAATGAATGACACCAATGCTCCTCCTTAAAACAAAAAAAACAATATTAGAAATGACAACGGGCAAAAATCCTCTGGGAGAAGAAAAAAGAAAATCTCAATATATTTCAATAAAATAAAAACAGAGTAGGGAATAGTCTGCATCTCAAAACTCTAGCAAATCCCAAACTCCCGATAAATAGTCATATTACAACCCCTAAAATAATTGAATGGAATTTTTTTGGCATTTTTTTTTTTTTTTTTAAAGAACTAATTTCCTTTTTAATCTATGCTGACTGTTTACTCCTGATTGGTTTGATAAGGTCAAATAAGCAGCTTATCTAAAAAAAATGACCTCCCATTTGTTGATAACTAGGGCAATAAAAGGTTTGTTAATTGTAATACCTTGTTATATACTGTAGCTATAAACACTAATGGGTATGTCTCAATCCTCATAAATATGCTGGACACTATTGTAAGGCGGGTAATATGTTGTCTGTGTAGTCCACTACCAGCAGTGGTTTACCTACTTCAAGCTGTTGATGGGTATTGTATTTTGTTGTTATAAAGATTACCATTTCATTTCCAACCTCTGTTTTGGTTATTCCTTATTTAGTAACCCTTTCTAGGTTACAACATGCCTCCAAAATGAAACTGTTCTCTTTTAATCATCTGAGAGAACCGTTTTTGCCTTTCATCAGCTTGACTGATGCTAACCTTCAGGAGAGCAATTCCTTCCCCTTTCTGGTTAATGTCTCCTCCCCCACTGACATGAAGTGACTTTTCTTAGTGAAATCTGCTTTCCAGTGCCTCAGCATCCGAGTAATGATCAACAAGTTTAGTCTGGTTGATCATTTTTACTAAATAGTGTGTTTGATTCTCACTGGGTGCACCATTAAAAAAAAAAAAAAAAAATGGAGAGTTATGTCGTTATATTAACCTAAATTTTTTTCCAAACCACAGAATGAAAATGAAAGGATAAACATCTTAACCTTGCCAGAAAGTGGCAGTAGTACCAGTAACTATAGGAGAACTGGAAACAATCATTAAGCTTCAGTTTTGAAACCTGTAAATTTTCTGTGTTGCAATGGAATCATATTTTTAAAAAGAAAATAATATATAATTTTTTTCCCATCTAATATGCAGGAGCACTAAAATATATTTTAATGAGTCATAATTATTAAGCTTTTAAATAAACTTGAACTGCAATATTGTTATGTAGTGGTTTCACAGTGGCGGCTTGTATTTGTACTAAGTACTAAAATAGGTTCGACGTACAAAACGTTAGGAACTTGATATAATAGGTAATGACGCAGTAATCTAGTTGGGGTGGCTGATACGTCAATATCCGACTAATGGTCGTCCGACATCGACTGACTGACCAACTCGCTGAGCGACTGCTACTACTACTCCTACTTATTATAGATGGAAGAGTCTATTAACTATAGAATAGGTGTGTTCCATTATAACAAATATATCAGTCCTCCTAAATGAAAATGAATTGACAGTTTCCTGATGAGAAGAAAAGGAGACTTGAGGCAACAGAGATGTGGTTCTGCAGAAGGATAATGAGAATAGTATAGACAGTGAGACAATACAAACAAAAAGCACACATATACTAGAATTAGAAAAATCAAAGAAAATTAAGGAAAGAGGTTAAAGTAAAATATAAATATTTAAAGTTTTCTCAAAAAAGCATTGAAACTGTAATCAGACAGATCATGCAACAATATAAAAGAATGCCAACATGACAAAAGAAATGAGATTTAACAAATGGAAGAAACTGTGACAGAGAATTCTGAAGGTGCTTAAGAATCATAAAAGATGCGTTCTGGAAATTAGATGAAGCATTAAGAAACAGAAGTCTGTTGAACTGCTATGCCATATCAACCCTCTTATATGGCAGTGAATGTGGGTCAATTTTCGTACAAATCAAGAGGATAATATCTAGGAAGTTTTTTAGCAGAAGACAAAAAATGCAATAACAAAATCTGAAGGCATATTGGGGAAAACAAAAGATGCCTTACAAAAGCTAAGCAAAGTATTAAGAACCAGGAAAAATCTTGTTAGAAACAAAAAGAAAAGAGTTGTGTCATATTAGTCCTCTTATATGGCTGTGAATGCTGAACAATCTCCTCATAGATGGAGAAGAGACTTGGGGCATTAGAAGTGTGTTTCTACAGAAGGATGCTGAGAATACCATGAACATGCATGTGAGCAATGAAGAAGTTTTAGTAAAAGTGGAACCAAAAATAGGCACTTAGAATCAGAAAGAATTGAACATTTTGAGACACATAATGAGGAAAGAGAATCTGGAGAATTTGACACACACAAGATACAGTAAAAGCAAAAGGAGAAACATTGACTAGCCTATCTAACAAGCTTTTGTAAATGAATAGTAGTACAGGGACTGGGAGGGTAAAGTGAAGGGACAAAGGATAGGAAGTTGTGAAGAGCCATGATTGCCCATGTTCTGAATGGACACAACACATAAGAAAAGGTATTTATATATCTGAACTTCATGGAGTAAAGATATATTATTGAGTTTTATTTTTTGGACCTGCATATCTGTCTAGGTTGTTATCGTTTTGTTCCGGCCAGTGTACTCTCTGGCCTTCAGGTTTCCATTATTGTGTTCAGAAACCTTTTGAGCATAAATTAATACTGATGTGTTTTATCAGGAGTTATAGATTTATTGGCTTTTTAGTTTTACGTTTTTCCCTTTTTGAGGGAGAGCATATTATTCTTCAGGATAATCATTCTTCATGAATAAATAGCGAAATGAATTTAGTAAATGGACAGATTTTTTTCTTGAATTTAGATATTTCTTTTGCATGTATGAGCCATTGCTATCATTAATTTTAATGCTTTATTCCGCAATGACAAGTAAAATGTTAGCATTCCTACAGATATTACCGTTCTGAAGGCATTAGTCATTTACTTTATTGGTGAATTTCATCTGTTCTGGTTTAAGAGATACCCACCACCCTTTTTTTTTTTTTTAGTTTACAGAAAATTTAATTCTTAA